ATGAGCATGTTAGGGCTAGCTTATAAAATAATTAATATATTATCTCAGTAAAACATTTATACTAATAAAACATTAATGTTAGCCGATAAATTTATCCCTTTGATATAAGAGATAAGAGAAAGTAACAGTTTTACTTATTCTTGTTCACCATATAATATTTAATTATTATTTTATTATATAATAAAAAGGAATACTGGTAAATAGTGTAGTAGAATTGCTATAAATTATATGAATTATATATTTTTTTTTACAATATAGATTTAATATCTTTTTATAATTTGATAATATAACTATAATATATTCTTAATGATATAATAATATGAGATACATATTTACATAATACTATGGATTTATTCTTTAATGTTAAGATATTGAATTAGGTAATATATGATTCACTAATTTGTAATTTGTCTTTTTTTTTTTATATTGAAAATAAGAATGTGATTGAGCAGAGATAACAATTATCTATAAATTCCTTCATTTAAGGTATAATTTTTAAATTGGTCCAAGTATTGAATGCAACCCGATTTTCTTGTAACTAAAATGAGAAGAGATTTTGAATTTCAAATTTTCACTTCAAAACCATATGTAAATTTGGATGCAGATTTTATTAAAAATGAATTCAACAAAAACCCATAATTTTAGGGACATTTAATACTACCCTATGTTTAAAAAATCTAAAAACTTTTTAAATATGGTGTGCAATTAATTATGAGTTGACTTTTCTTCATACTAATTCTAGTAAATGGGATAACTTTTTATATAAGTATAGATTACAGAAAGATCAAAAGGCCACTGAAAAACACTGTCCTAACCAAATTGATAGGGGTTAAATCTATCTATATATATATATATATATATGTATATATATATATATATATCAATATATATATATATATATATAAAAGTTGTTGGAAAAATACCTAAATAGAATGTTTGACTGAAAAATAGAATGTTGACTTTCTAAATTAAGTAAGATGATTAAAAGGGTGTAGTAAGATGATTAAAATGATGTAGGTAAGCTTTTTGAAAGCCAAATAATTTAGGTAGATAATTATGAAATTATTTTGTATAGATAATTATGAAATTTGTTACCAAAAAAAATCTCAAAGAATCCAAACTATTGGGAAGGTTGTTTAAAAAAATGCTAAAAAATATGTACGTGTAATGCAAAATTTCGGATAAATTAGTACACTAACTTCCATAGTTTCCGCCTAAGTTGTTTTGGACTGTTTAATAAAATTAGATTTTACATATTCAAAGTTCTGGATTGATATCTTAATGAAAATAATCTAAAAAAAATTAGAAAAAACTTATTTTGTTACTAATTTTCAATATCCTATTAAATATATTAGTGATAATCATTTGAAATCTCAATGCGCGTATATAGATGCATCTTTTTCATATCAATCTATTTTAAAAAACGTGTGATATAAATATGCTGATACATAATATTTATGTTGTTGATATATTTTAGTCTTTTTCATATCAATCCACTTATTTCGTAATCTCAACCTTATAATCAATTATTTTATTATTGATATAATCTTTAATTTGATTAACATGATATAAAATCTATACTTATATAAAGAGCCACCCTATTTACTAAAATTAGTAGCAAAAAAATAGGTCAACATTTAATGCAATCCATAAATAGTAGTTTTATTATATTTTTATTTAAAAACCATACAATTTAATTTATAAATACGCTTTAATATAATCATACAATTTAATCATACAATTTAATTTATAAAAATCATACAATACAATTTAATATATATATATATATATATATATATATATATATATATAGTACTTTTTGTAATAAATTTGAATAAAATTTGTTACTTAAATATCTAAACAATTTAAAAATTCAAATGCTTAAGTTAATTGATAAAAAATATATAAATCTCTATTTTATTTAAATATGTAGTTTTATTTAAAATAATTTTAAATATAGCCAAATTTATTTAGAAAATCGTATTGATCCTACCAATTCAACCGACTGGTGTTGACAGATTCAATAGAAAATACTTTATTCAAGTGAACTAGACTAACTATAAATTGGTTCTCAGTCCATCCGGTCGGACTGTGTCCAACATGGTTTAATTTAAAAATGATAGATAAATCTTGATTAATTTATTTGTATATTTAATTTATAACAAAATCGTAATATTGTTTTCCCGTGCATCGCACGGGCCACACACTAGTATATATAATAAGAATTATCATTTACCAAAAATAGTAGCAAAAATATAGGAGATAATTTAATGCAATCTATAAATAGTAAGTTTTTTTATTTTTTTATTTTTATCTTTAGAAATCATACAACATTAACTGTTGCATTAAATTTCAAGCTTTAATTCACTTTATTATTTAAAATTTCAGCTAAGATCTATAAGTGTCCTTTTTTTTATCTTAGAAACAACAAACAGCATTACAATATCAGTGTCCATATTTATAAAATATCAATTCAAAAAGTATTAAAAGTTTTAAAATATCGGTCTTTATATTTGTGTCTTTCAAACAAAATAGTGAACGCTATTCTTCAAATATCATTTTCACTAATCATCACAATTTTTTTATTTGAAAAGTGTTATAATAAACTTGGTAATGTTTATCACTTCTTTGTTTACCAATCTATTGTTTTTTTCTAAACTCGGTTCTAAAAGGTAAAATAATTTTTATATTCTCAGTCTCAGTAGTTGTGCATTAAAAAAAAATTATAATATATTATTTGTTAATAGTACACAATTTTGAAAACCTCATTGTAAATTGTATGGTGATATCCAAATCATTTTATAAATACAACTGACTTTGTTAAATCTCCACGAAAATATGGTAAAACAAAATGAGACGATCAACTTTGTATGAAAATAAAATAAAATCAATAAATCAATATAAAGTTCACAGGAAATGAACATAATTAGTAATTTGAATAGTACAAAGATCTCAAAATTAATGCTTAAGTGGATTCTAAAATTTAAACTTATACTTAGACATGCCGACCCGACCTGGTCAAACTCGTTGACCACGGGTCCGATCCCGTACCGGATTTCTATGGGACTTTTCAGGGTCATTCTTTCATGACCCTGCCGGCGGGCCGGGCCCGGTCCTATTTTTTATTTTTTTAATTTTTAACAATATTCTATATTTTTTTTCTTTAAAAAATAACGACTCGGTTCTGTGACCCGGCACGACCCAGCACAGTTAACCGGGCCATTGAACCGGCACGAGCATAGGTCCATGATGGGTCCGGGTCCCTTTTTCTGAGCCCGGAGGTCCGACGGGCCGGGTCGGGCTGTGTTTTGGCCAAGTCTACTTATACTTATCATCATCTTTTGAAAAATGAATAATATATTGTAGGCAAGATTTTGTAAAATAGTTTTAGGTATGTTTTCTTTACAAAATAGTTTAAACAAATTTTAGATGATTCCACATTTTTCAATGATATATAAAATTTTAGATAATTTTCATACGTTGTATAATATTTTAGATGATTTTAATATTTTAAACATACAATTTTTTTATGTTATTTTATATAAGATAATTTTATATTGTTTACAACTGATATACGATAAACTATGTCACGTGTTAACTCCAGACTTTAATTTATAATTATTAGTTAATATTGCATACCCTTATATTTAATTTATAGTTATTAGTTAATACTCCCTCCTATTTTTTTTTTTTTTAAAATGTCATTCTAGCTTTATCAACTATTAACTAAATAAATGTCGTTTTTGATCTTTTGTACATATTTTTTTATTATTACCCCCATTTAGCTAATAAATACATTACGTCTTTTCATATTTACTCTTCACTTTTTCTCAAAACATTCTATCTCTATCTTCATTAAATAAGGTTATTATTGACAAAAAAAATTCTTAATTAATGTGCAATTTCTCAAAACGACGTATATTAAAAATAGGAGGTAGTATTGTTTACCATCATCTTCAGTTTATACTTATTATTTTATAATATTTATCTGTGCATCGCACGGGCTACGCACTAGTTTCATTATAAGGCTCAATTTTTGTAATTGTATCAAATTAAAGCCTGAATTTTGTTCCTTTTCAATAAAAAGTTTACAATTTTAGGTGAATCTTAAGGCTTATTTTCTTAGTTAAATTTTTATTGTAAATCTCAACTAACTTTACTTTTCGACATAAATATGTGACCAACTATTATGTGAACAATATTATTATTATTATTATTATTATTATTATTATTATTATTACCATTATTATTACTACCATTATTGTAATTTATGATAATTTGAAAAATGTGCCAATGAAATATTATTTTTATTAATAATATAAATATGTAACAAAACTAAAAAAGTAATATTTAAATAATGTTGCCTTCATTTTAGCCTTCAAGAATTCTAACTTTTTTTAGACGAAAAATTTGTTACCATGCCATTGTTGGCTGAAATGATAATTTTTTGTAGACCTTATGTTAATATTTTTTTTTAGTTTTATTACATATTTAATTATTTATAAAAATAATATTCCATTACCAAATTTTCATATTCACTTATAAAATTTTTAAATAATCATTTTTAATCTTTTGTAATAATATAATTTGTATAGTTTCATTTTATTATTAATGTAATTTTACTAAAGATATTTATCATTTTTTTAATATAAGGATGTAAAATATAAATTACAAAAAAACAAAAAAATGATCCCCTAACTATATCATAAAATAAATTTTATTGGTTCATATATTATTGTCAAAAAGTAAAATTAATTGGACAATGAAAACGTTTAACTAAAAAATTGAGCCTTAAATTGAGAATACTTGAAATGTAAATCTTCTAAAAGTTTAGGCCTTAAATTGATATAATCCTAAAAATTGGGCCTTAAAATAGAATTTCCCCAATTCATAGGGGTCCAAATTGTAATATTACTACTTCTGTTGATGCTATATATATTTGTATGTCACTTTGGTCCCGCCTCCCCGCCAGTCTAAAACCTAGTTCGTCTCTCTCCCTCATGTACGGACAGCCACCGCCGTCTCGCTCTGGTGGCGGCCGCCGCCGTGGTCGAGAGGTTGCGCAGCCGCCTCAACAGCAGCAAATTCCAGTGACCAGCAATATTTTCCCGCACCCCTCTTTCTTCGTTCCACAGCAGAACCCTGCTTTCTTGCCTCCCCTGTACCCCTTTGTGCAAAACCCTACCACTTTCCCGCAAGTTCAACAGCCCTTCCCCTACAGCAATTTTTCTTACCAGATGATTCCCGACAACAGTAATTTTCAAGATCCCATGACTGATGGTAGCAGTAACAGTAAATCTCCGCAACAGCACGAAAAGAAGAAGCATGTCGGCGAGATGGTTGAGAAATTTGACAAGGCGGCGATGATGGCTTGGAAGGACCTTCTGAAGTTAGATGATAATGTTTCCGCGTGGAAAGTTTCTCAGTCCGCTTTGTTGAAGGTGAAGGCGGAGTCTTGGGAGAGTTTGGGGCTCCAAATGCAGCAAGTGCCTTCACTGAATCGTCTACTCGTTGTCGAAGGGAAGGTGTGCACATTATTACATTTTTAGACGAAAAATTTAGCTGTTGTTAGTTTTTGTTTCTCTCCGTTAAAATCATTAGAGGGGCTATTATGTGGAAAATCTGAAGTTCCTTATGTTGGAAAGAGGACGTGTAGTAATGAATCAACTCTTTTTTGGAGATGTATATAAACCTTAATGACATTTGCCAGTTTGCACATTATTCTTTGTGTTTTCTTTTACATCGTCGATATTAGAAATGAGAATGACATAATTTATGTTGTGCTTATTTTAGTGCTTATCTGTATACTGTGGAAAAATTAACTATATGAATCAATGCTATAATTATTCTGAAATGATTGTCCAACTGTTAATTTTTTTTCGTACAATTTGATCAAGATGCTATGAAATGTTAATTCTGTCCGGAATTATATGGCTTGTTGCCATCGATGAAGTTGCTGCTAAATGTTGAAGCCTATGGCTGCTTTTTAGTTCTCGCTAGACTGGGTTTTGGAAAATAATGATTTTTAAACTTTGATCCTTAACAACATGGTGATTGACTTGGCTGACATTTTTGTTATTCTTAAGGCCAAAAGAACATTAGTTCCAAAAACATGTTCTTTCAAATGAAGCCATTCTTGAATATTCAATTTACACTAACCACTTCCCTGTCTTAGTGTGGTAAAATTGCTGTTTAAGAGTATAGTTGATTGCAGTTTCATGATAGCTACTGTGCAGAAATTGAATTCTTTATAATCTCCTTCTTTTAGTGTCAAGGATTGGTGGCTAATTTTTCCTTCTTTCTTCCTTTCCGTGAAGATCAATATGTTCATCCATTGCTTTGTCTCCGCCAGAAGAATTACTTCACTGTATGATTTGGAAGTGGCAATCTGCGAGAGTGAAGGTGTTGGACGCTTTGAAGAGCTGGAATTGGGTCCCTTGTTGAGGCATCCACTTGTTGTGCATTACTTTTCTGTGAATTCTGAGATAACTGAGGTGTATAGAATCACAACTGAGGAGATAATTTCTTACCTTTGTGAGTTCATTGATACTCACAAAAGGAAAAAAATCAAAGCTGATATCTTTTTGGATTTCATCTCCAAGAAAAAATCTGTGAGTGGCAGGGAAAAACTTTCTGTGTGTATCCAGAACTTTGGGTATGTCATCGATCTTCTGTCCAAAGTCTTATCATTTTCTTCAGTGTGTTTTCAGAAACCTGTAAATAGTTATTTTTCATGTTGAATTACTCATGGATGAAAATATTCTCGAAGCATCATTCAGTACATGTGAGCAACAGTCTAATTGCTGTATGACAGCAGCAAACTTATTTTCCAAATTTTCAACCGGTTTTATCTCTTGTTTTCAGAGCATATGTTGATCATATAGAACGGGCAAGACAGTCAGAAGATAGAGTACTAGAAAAATGTTACGAGAAAATGAAAACGGAATCTGCTAAGAAGAGTAAGCGTCCCCTTTTTTCTTCCCAAAAGAAAGAGTTGGATGACCATTTCACGGCAATAGCCCAACGTATGGAGTCATTTTCATCAGTCAATACCCAATTTTGTGGAAAACACATAAGATTTACATCAAGTTCAGATGATAATAGCAGCGACGATGATGATGAAAGCGAAGCTAATGAGAATGTTGATAATTGGAATCAGAAGAATACAGAGAGCAACTGCAGTTTGTCGCTTCCAAATGTGAGATCAGACCGTGGCAGTGGCTGTCCTTACCCTTCTGCATCTGAAGAAATGACAAGGCTGGGTTTGAAAAATGAAGTAGAATCCAGCCCTTATACACCTGTTGGTGGTATAAGGAGCAATGCTGACAATGAGCATCCCCGAAGAAAGAGAAGATGTGAGAACACATGTTCCAGTGCTTCCTTGGCTGCCAAGAAGTGTAAAGGAGAAAAAAACAATGAAGATCCCAAGAACGAGGGCTCTGGTCTTCGGGGTACAGGTGGTCATTCACCATCCATCGAGTCCTTAAAGATGTTTTTTACAACTTGGAAGGAGGCATGCCGAGTGAACACCGCTGATGAGGTAGTATCTTGATCGCTTTGGACATGACAATTGACATTTTAATTTTTGGACATGTGGATGGCTGGGGAGAGGCAACATCTGTTTCTTTAGCTCTCTTTCTAGGATTGGCCATCCAGCAGTAATCATGTATTCTTTTGAATAGTTGTTTTGATCTGTTCAAACACACAAAGAATTGAAAGTAGTTATATGACTACTCTTTCAATGACCACAGTCACTTTTAGTTGCAAAATTGATTTTTTTTTCCTAATTTTACTGTCTCAATTGGTTTTTGGAACATCATGCATTGTCAAGGTCAAGTAAAGAAGGAACGAGTATTATGTATGATTACATTGTGTTAACATAAACTAGAAACGAGGAGCCTTAGTTAATTTCTTCCTAGTTTATTTTCGTTTTGGTATTGCACAAAGATATTTGATTAGATGCATGGGACTTTATTTAATTGAATGAGAGAAGACCTGTTCTAGATACTGCTTTGCTAGTGAAACCTTAGTGTTGCAAGGTCATTTTCTACAGTTATTCCAAGTCATATGGCAAGGAAAGGTGTTATGCTCTATCATTTTCTTGTTGCTTGGATTCTGTTCAATTTATGAGTTTGGTGATGCTGATACCAGCTTTGAGTAACATTTTTGTCCTCATGTTAAACCCAGTGCATCCTTTGGTATTGTGTGTCTTTAATTGGTTTAGGCCTTCAAAATATTTCAATATGTTATTTGAAGAAATGAAGTTATATAATGCTCTTATGAGCTGTGAGCAGACTATGTGGGCATACTCTGTGGTTTCCTTTTCAACTGCTGCTTTTTTTTTTTTTTTT